AGGCACCCCCTACCTTTTTATTTCACTGATTTACTCTATTGTTTTTCTATTTACAATTATTGCCTTTTGTTCTTTTCTTTAGTCTTTTCTTCTGTTTGCTTTGGGTTTATTTTGCTGTTCTTGAGATAGGACCTTAGATTATTGATTTGAGACTTTTCCTCTTCTATAGTGTTTGCACTAATTGCAAAAAATTTCCTGTCAGTATTAGTTTAGTTGTGTCCCACGACTTTTCATATTTTGTATTTTTAAGTTTCCTTTGGGACATCCTTTTGACCTATGAATTATTTAGAAGTATGTTACTTAGTTTCCAAGTGTTTAGAGATTTTCCTATTATTTTTCTGCGATTGATTTCTAGTTTCATTCCAATGTGATCAAAGAGTACATTCTGTATGGTTTTAATTATTTTAAATCTGTTGAGGTCTATGTTATAGCTCAGGATATGGCATTTTGGTATATGTTCCATTGGCACTTAAAAAGAATGTGTACTCTGCTGTTAGGTGCAGTGTTCTATGAGTATCAATTAGATCCTGCTCATTGATGGTGTCATTGAGTTCTTCAACATCTTCTGATTTTCTGTTTAACTAAAACAACTTTTTTATCAATTGGTGACAGTGGAATGGTGAATTCTAAACTATAATTGTGTATTTGTCTATTTTCCTTTTAGTTCTATCAGTTTTTAAAAAAATTTTTTTTTAATTTCTTTTCCGTGTATGTTTCATGTATTTTGAAGTTCTCAGTTGGTGCATGTATATTTAAGATTTCTGTGTCTTGGTGAACTAATTATTTTATTATTTATGATGTTTCTCTCTGATAATTATTTTATTTTTTTTAAATCTTTTTTTTTATTTATTTTCAGCATAACAGTATTCATTGTTTTTGTAACACACCCAGTGTTCCACGCAGTCCGTGCCCTCTCTAATACCCACACCTGGTTCCCCCAACCTCCCACCCCCCCCACCTCTTCAAACCCTTCAGATTGTTTTTCAGAGTCCATAGTCTCTCATTGTTCACCTCCCCTTCCAATTTCCCCCAAATCCCTTCTCCTAACTCCCCAGTCCTCCATATGGCCATACCATCCTGAATGCGCCCGATCTCGTCTGATAATTTTATTTATCTAAAATGTAATTTATATGATATTAATGTAGTTACTCCTACTTGCTTTTGATTAATGGTTGCATGATACACCTTTTTTTCATCCTTTTACTTTGAGCTTGCTTATATTAAATTTTAAGTAAGTTTTTTGGAATCAGCATATAATTGGGCCATGTTTTTAAATATATCCTGCCAATTTCTGTCTTTTAATTGGTATATTAGACCATCTTCTACACTTAATGTAATTATTGGTATGTTAGGGTGTATGTATGCCATTTTTTGTTTTATGTTTGTTCTTTCTCTTTTCTTTCCTTCCTATCTTTCTATAAGATACTTGAACATTTTTTAGAATCCATTTTTTTTCCAATTTTTTATTTTTTCAGCGTAACAGTAGTCATTGTTTTTGCACCACACCCAGTGCTCCATGCAATCCGTGCCCTCTCCAATACCCACCACCTGGATCCCCCAACCTCCCACCCCCCGCCCCTTCAAAACCCTCAGGTTCTTTTTCAGAGTCCATAGTCTCTCATGGTTCACCTCCCCTTCCAATTTCCCTCAACTCCCTTCTTCTCTCCATCTCCCCTTGTCCTCCATTCTATTTGTTATGCTCCACAAATAAGTGAAACCATATGATAATTGACTCTCTCTGCTTGACTTATTTCACTCAGCGTAATCTATACCAGTCCTGTCCACGTTGCTACAAAAGTTGGGTATTCATCGTTTCTGATGGAGGCATAATACTCCATAGTGTATATGGACCACATCTTCCTTATCCATTTGTCTGTTGAAGGGCATCTTAGTTCTTTCCATGGTTTGCGACCGTGGCCATTGCTGCTATAAACATTGGGGTACAGATGGCCCTTCTTTTCACCACATCTGTATCTTTGGGGTAAATACCCAGTAGTGCAATTGCAGGGTCATAGGGAAGCTCTATTTTTAATTTCTTGAGGAATCTCCACACTGTTCTCCAAAGTGGCTGTACCAACTTGCATTCCCACCAACAGTGGAAGAGGGTTCCCCTTTCTCCACATCCTCTCCAACACATGTTGTTTCCTGTCTTGCTAATTTTGGCCATTCTAACTGGTGTAAGGTGGTATCTCAATGTGGTTTTAATTTGAATCTCCCTGATGGCTAGTGATGATGAACATTATTTCATGTGTCTGATAGCCATTTGTATGTCTTCATTGGAGAATTGTCTGTTCATATCTTCTGCCCATTTAGAATCCTAGAATCCATTTTTATTTATCTGTATTGTTTTGAGTTTGCCTCTTAGAATAGCATTTTCAATTGTTGCTTTAGGTATTACATAAACATAATACAATCTACTTGTTTTGTCATTTTACCAATTTGAGGAGAGTGTAGAACCTTTAACTCCCTTTATGTCTGTTTACCCAGTTTTTAATACAGTTATCAAATATTTACTCTACATGCATTTTGAATAACGTTAAAGTATTATAAATTTTGTTTAAACAATCAAATATAGCTCAGGAAACTCAAGAGGAGAAGGAATGCCTATTATATTTAGCCATATCTTTGCTTATTGTATTCTTTCTTCCTTCCTGATGTTCCAAGGTTCCTTCTTTTAATAATTTCTGTTCTGTTTAGAAAACTTTCATTAGCCATTCTTTTAGGATATGTCTGCTGGAAAAAATTCTTTGTTTCCTTTCATCTGAGAATGTATTGATTTCCCTTTATTCCCAGAAGATGTTTTTGCTGGATATAGGATTCTGTGTCAGCAGTTCTTTTTATCCAGCACTTGAAAAACATGTGCCACTTTCTTCTGGTCCAGTATTTCTGATGAAATATTTGCTGCCACTCTAATTATTTCCCCCTACAGGAAAGGTATCATTTTTCTCTGATCACTTTTAGAACTTTCTCTTTGTTGTTTTCAGAAATTTATTTCAGTGTGTCTTGGCATCTATTTCTTTGTGTTTGTCCTGTTTGGAGTTTTTGCAGCTTTTGAATCTGTAGATTTATATCTCTTGTAAAATTTGGGAAATTCATACATTATTTCTTTGAATGCTTTTTATCCTCACTCTTTTCTCCTCTAGGACCCTCATTACCTGTGTTAGATTTTTTGGTATACTTGCACAGATCCTGGAAACTCATTTCATTTTTTTAAAGTCCATATTCTCTCTGTTGTTCTGATTAGGTAATTTCTATTGGCCTATCTTCCAGCTCACTAATTCTTTCTTCTGTCTCCTCCATTCTGCTGTTGAACCCATCTACTAAGATTTCACCTAGTATTTTTCGATTCTAATAATTTCCATTTAGTCCTTTATATCTACTGTGTTTTTGTTGAGACATTTTATTTATTTTTTCTCTAAGACTTTCTATTTTTTAATTTATCTCAAGCATGTGTTAATTACTGAAGCAGTTTTATCATGACTCTCTGACACACCTGGTCCTCCCCATGATCCAGAAAGTTGAAGGTCACTGTTGAGCAAAGCATGTCCTCCAAACTCCTGCTTTAGACCTAAGGCTTGGGTCCATTCTGGTTTGTTTGCTTGTGGCATACCAGTTGTTAAAATAGTTTGATCTCATCCTGAGTATATGGATGAATGAATGAATGAATGATAGATATCCAGAAGCTCCAAGCTTATCTAACATATCTAAGCCATAACCAATAAAACTCCTCTGAATATGCTTTTCTCCATAGTCTGCATTATTGCTTCTTCCTCCATAGTCTGCATTATTGCTTATAACTCTTATTGTGATTGATTCCCTTCTGTTTTGTATATCAGTTCTGGCTGAGTATCTGTAGTGAGGTGTCCTAATAGTGTCATCATAACTCCAAGCCAGTTCTTCCTTGCTTCATCTCTAACCAAGGTATTATTTCTTGAAACAGGCTTTTTTTTTTTTGGTATATTCCTTATACCTCTAAAACTGGCTCACAGGTCATACTGTCACAGCCTGCCTCATGGGCCATGTGACTTATTTCACATATTTCAGTGAAGGCTGTCTTCCTTCCTACTGGGCTTTGGTCAAGAGAAGTTGTGAAATCACTCCCTAGGATTATATTCTGAGCCCATATCCTCCTCAAACACTAGTTCTTTGTCAACTCTATCCACACCACTACCACAAGGTAGACTTCTTAATTTTTTTTAACCTATAACTGCCATCTATATCCTATAAAATTTTCTTGACTTGATATTTTTTCTTTGATTTACTGATTCTGTTATCAAGCCCCTTTACTCTGTAGACAATGTGTCCTCTAATCCTTCTTTTATGCGTCTGTCCACTCTTAAAAATTAACCATTGGCTTACTGGGAACTCACATCTTTTGGAATTTTCAGGTTTTGCATTTCTCCATTATTCACATTGTAACTTTTTTTTCACTAGCATGATTTTGGCATCTATACATCAAAGCAAAGGTTTCAGTTAGCCAATTAGATTTTAAATCAACATGATTTGAGCAATCTTTTTTTTAAATAATCATATTTTTCATTCTAGTTCCATTCCTAGGGAATCAAGGATGGCATTGTGTTTCATTGCCATCTCTGCTCACTTAGCAGTACTTATCCACAGTTTTGTTTTACAGAAGATTTTGAGACTGTCAAAGCACAAAGGAGTGGTGTGATTGATTATTATCACTTGCAGGAACAGTTGGGAGAAAGAGTGTCCCTCTGGGCTTATGAATTCATATAGGTGTTCCTGCTGTCTTGTCGTGACTCTACCTTCTTTATATTCTGCTTCCTTTATTGAGGATACCTGAATGAACAAATGAATAGTTGAGACTGAGACGCGGAAGCATTCAAGTTCTGATTACCTATTTGTCAATGACAAGGCTGCCATGATTTTTGGGAGGATATTGATAACTTTAAATCCTCATTCTGATGAAATTACTTTGAAACACTTTAACTTGGTATTTGAGATCGCTAGTTACTGACTTTTTATTATTTTTGTAGGCAGCACTCAGCATATTTGGCATGATTGGTGGACCACTTCTGGGCTTGTTTGCTTTGGGCATTTTGGTTCCCTTTGCCAACTCAATTGTAAGTATAAAGAGTGAATATGTGTAAAGCTTACTTTCCCAACTATAGTAGCAGCTCTTTAATTTTTTCTTAATTTGAAAGATATAGTTCCTTTGATATCTGTCATTAGTGACTTGATGGCTTAAATTACTCATATTGACTTTGCTGGAATATAAAATAAAGTGCTATGCACTGGGATCCTGCATATGTGAAACTAAATGGAAACTGCAAAAATAATATATATTATGAATATTATATAGCTAAATCATATAATATTACAATATAACTGTATAACTAAGCATATAATATTATAGAATATATAATGTAAATAAAGGATATACATTATGAAATAATACATATTATGTTGTACATTGTATGTAATATATATTATGAATATTACATAACTAAAGGAACATTTTTTGTGGATTTATCTCTTTTGCCCTTCCTGAAAGTCATTAGGATTTCTATAAATATTTTTAAAATTTAAAATAAGTTAATTAACATATAGTATATTATTAGCCTCAGAGGTCACTAAACTCTACCTCTAAAAATCACTAGGATTTAAAGAAAGGAGATCAACAGGCTCAGATGTGAAAGAGTTAAGAGCAGTAGAACTGAGGATACCTGTGAATAGTCAGAGTACAGCAAAGGGAAGTAATAAGATAAGCTCCTCACCATCTTGACCAGAGAGTTTATATTCCTGATATTTAAAGCAATAGTTCCAATATCATGGTTCTGGCCCCAAAGAGGTGATCATAATTGGAATAGTATCCAGAATGAGGTAATACCTCTCTTCTACACAGACATTTTTGTGCTTTAAAGTGCTAAATTTTGTTTGGAATAAATGAAATTGAAATTGTTTCTCTGAAAGCCAGGAGAAACTCCACTGGGTAGTCCTGCTATAAGCTGAAGTTCAGGAAAAACTGATAATGTATGTATGGTTGTTTCATACAGTCATAGAATAACTGCAGAACTATGACTTTGAATTTAGAATTCCATTTTCTTCATCATTATGGATTGGTAAGATGGCTACTCATAAAGGCCATTACCATTATTATTAATAAGCACTGGATGTTATACACAAGCAATGAATCATGGAACAAAAACTGATGATATACTGTATGGTAACTAACATAACAAACATAAAATAAATAAAAAAATAAAAAATAATTCTTAAGGAAAAGAATTCTTAACAGATGGTAACTACACTTGTGGTAAACATAGCATAGTATATAGAGATGTTGACTCACTGTGTTGTATCCTGAAACTAATGTAACATTGTGTATCAACTGTACTCAAATAAAAAATTTTTAAAAATAATTATCTCAAATAATTGTCAATGAAGTATCATATGAAAAGCTAGTTTGGTAAAAATTAATCACAATGAAAGAATAGTTTGTATCTACCTCAGAATGTTGAAGCTTTGATTAGACTCTGCATTATTAAATGCACAGTGGTTTACTGAGTGTCTGAAACACTAAGAAAGACTGATTTGGTTTTTGACATTTACTGCCACCATGGGTTGCCTCCAGAATAGCTATAGCAGACTTGGTTCCATATAACATTTTCTGGGAAGTATGATATTATTATTCCTGTCATAGGAGGTACCTCTTTTTACTATACTCACATTTTTCATCAGCAGAGTATCTACCCTTGCTTTGGAATGGACTTCCTGCCTTCCTCTCTCCCTCCATCCTTCCCTCCCTTCCTCTCCTTCCCCTTTTCTCCTTCCCTTCCTTTGCTTTTCCTCCTCCTTTCTTTTCCCCCTTCTTCCCTCCCTTCCTGTCATTCATTCATTGAATATTTATGAGCTAAGCACTGTTCTGGGAATAGAGAACACTGAATATTTTTGTACTCGTGGGCTTTATAATTTTGTGGATCTTTGATCAAGCCATGTACAATGCTGAGAAGCAAGTCTGGCTTGTCAACGGCTGGCCACACTACTATTCCAATCTCACATTATTGAAAACATATTTATTGCATGCTTGCTATATGTGCAGCACTCTAGTAAGTGCTGGGATACCAAAACCAAAAAAATCTAATTCTGCTTTCAAGGTTCACTACTTAGTGAAAGAGCTCATAGTGTTTGTCCCCAACATAAATCTTCTGATCTTGTCATCAGCCTTCATCTTATCCCATCAATACACCATTCTTTTTTCCTACCCTATGATTTTGCTCGTGTTCTTTCCCTTACTTCAAATATTCTCCCCTGTCTTCTCTATGGGGAACCCAAGGCACAGGCTGCCCTGCCTGGTCAGTATTCTTGAAAAAAGGGGGAAATTTTCACCACAGAGGAAGAGGCCCACCAGCTCAAGGTTTGCTTTTGTCCCCATCATTTGGAACTAGGGTTTAAATAATTCAAGGTCCAGCAGAACATCTGGACTACTGGTGAAAAGCAGAAGTGGGGAACCCATTTTCCAAAGATTGAGAAACCAAATGTCTTCAGAGGGGACATCTTTTTTTGTCTTTAGAAATACTTGGTGTGGTTGTATGCACCATTGCAGTCATTTGTGAAAACTGCTTCCTATTTTCCTCCTAGCTACCCTGAAGCACAATTACAATCATGCATGTTGTTAAATATGGGAATAAACTCTGTGTCTGCTTTCCCCTTCATAGTCTTTTGTGCATTTGGCATACTGTTTGTTCACAGGTTAAGCAAAAATAAAGGGGACAGTTGGCCTGGGGTCAACCATGTGATTGTTGTAGTTCTTGGGTGTGAAGAGAGGAGGACGCCAGAAAAGACTGCTAGCCATGGAAACAGAGTAGAAGGAATAGAATTATGAGATTAGCAAAAAGAAAAATGAGCAGGTTGAGATAAGGATATGGAAAAGGAATGGAGTTACTAGATCCCCAGGGCTCTGAGATGAGGGACCACTAACTCATGCTGCCCTTGACAAGAAGCAAGGATCTTGGGGGAGAAAATGATTTTAGGAGAGAAGCTGGTAAATCTGGCTTGGACCATGCTAAGCTTAATCTTCTGACATTAATTTCTGTCTCAAAGAAAACGACATTATTTTTCTTTTAAAAACATTCTTGTTTTACAGGGAGCAATCGTTGGTTTGATGGCTGGATTTGCTGTTTCTCTGTGGGTTGGGATTGGAGCTCAACTTTATCCTCCACTGCCTGAGAGAACTATGCCACTAATCCTTGAAACCTATGGCTGTAACAGCACACACAATGTGACAGATTGGGTAACAACCACAGAAATGCCATTTTCTACTAGTACTTTTCAAGTACACAGTGTGGAAAGGTATTGAATTAAGCTTTATAATGTGATATTTTAAAGAAATGCATGTGACAGGTAGAGAACCCCAGTTGCCCAGTTGCTGTAATTTTCCCTAATTCTGAAATGGGTAGAGCCCTTGTGGCTTTCTGGCTATAGTATTTTGTTTGGTAACAGCAAAAATTGATGTATGTTCTTAATTTTAATAAAAACCTCTGCCTCACTTACAGATCTGAAGAAAAATTGAATAATAACCAAAAAATTCTGTTATGGTTAAGTGCTACCAAATATCAGCTCTAGTTGAATGAAAAATCATCTTGGTGAACTAAACTGTTTTAAAATGAAAAGCAAAATTATAAAAGAAACACTGCTTATATAGGCTTTAAGTATAGCCTTTATAGTCTAAAGCTACAATCATCTAAATATGTTAGATCATTGCTGTTTGTTTAGATTTAAAGATTCCTGATCTTTAGAGCACTGGCAATGAGTTGCAGCTGTGATCAACTCACTTGCTGGAGTTTTCTGTATGAGGTATACTTTTGGGCTCTGGGTCCTTATTTCATCTGATTTAATGAAATGATGTAGATCTATAGGTAGGTGAGTGTTTTATAATACAGTAGATATAAGAGCAAGATTTCTTTAGTGGACAATTAAATGTCTAGCCTTAAAACCTAAACCCTTTGAAGATATGCAAGGAATACAAAAATGAGGCTGCTGCCCCCAAATTATTGCCCCCAGTTTCAGCTTTCCTGGAATGAAATCATTAAAGACTCATTCCCTTTGGGTCAAGACGTGCTGTCTCCCTTTTAAACTGGAAGCACTCCTGAGAGAAGGAATGTGATTTATTATTAGTGATTCATGTTCAAATCATGAGTTCCTAACTACGAGAATGCTTGCCAATGGAAGTTCAAGGCTGATAAATGCTGCGTGGGTAGAGAGAAAAGGTAGTTCCAGAACCTGAGACATTATGGAGGGAGTTTTGACTAGGTGGGGTGCCATGGGGTGAGGGGCAGTGAAATGCCAAAAGCAGTTTGGACAAGCATGAAAACACTAATGTTTGTGTGTGAAGGGGGTAGTTGTTAGAGTCAGAAAGGGAGAAAAAAAATAATTGAAGGGTACGTGGGAGGACATTCAGGATATACTTCTTGTTTCACATTTTGCTTCGCATTTGTCCTGATTATGTAAATATCTCTCTTAATTTAAGAGTCTGAGACAAAATAGTTATTTGGATTCTGAAACAAATAAATTAGCTGAAGTTTAGTATGTACCTGGTACCATAATGATTACTTTTATATGTTAGCTTGTTTATAAAATAACAGGTAATAAATAAGAATTTCTAAGAATAAATGATATACTTAGATCTGGGCTGGCCGTTTATGTAGTATCACAAGAAAGTCGTCCCCTCTTATTCACTGTGATTCCTGCCCTCCAGGAAGTTATAGTCTAGCTGGAGAGAGTGTGCTAATATACACAAAACAATTAATTCAGTAAGCACAGTACGTATAAAACTAGCACATGGTAAATAGTAATAAATACTTGATGAAGATCTGTTAAAAGAATGAATATAAACAAAGTTGGAGTGATTAGCATCAAGACTTTAGAGAGGTAGTACTACTTGAAGGATACAGAGGTTGGCTGGAAGGAGAGGGTCTGGAAAGTCACAGAAAATGACCAAAAGGGAAGTTGGACAAGAAAATAAACACTTAAACAATACCCTCTGGTAAGTGGTATTCATAGGTGATCAAGAGGCACCGTTCCTGGTAGAGTCAAAGAAACCTTCTTAGAGGAAGATTAATCAGGTGACCAGGGTTGGACAGAAGGGACAGACAGAAGTGGTGCATAGTGCACCAGTGGGGAAATGGTATATCCAAAAGCATGAAGGTCTGAAGCCACATGGTATCTTAGGAAATCATACATAGTTCAGTGTCCCTAGAGTACAAGGGGAATAAACTACACAGCTAAGGATGAAACAAAATACTCTTTGGTTTCCTAGATAACATGTTTCCATTACCTAGATACAGTTTTTATTCTTTAAATTCCTTAATGCTTGATGGGTATATATTGGTAGCCCATCATAGTTTTAATTTGCATTTCCTTTATGATCAACTACATTCAATACCTTTTTTTTTTTAAGATTTTATTTATTTGACAGAGAGAGATCACAAGTAGGTAAAGAGGCAGGCAGAGAGTAGGGGTGGGGAAGCAGGCTCCTTGCTGAGCAGAGAGCCTGATGCGGGCCTGGATCCCAGGACCCTGAGATCATGCCACCCAGGCGCCCCCATTCAATACCTTTTTATTACATGGGGTTGTTTGTTTGTTTGTTGGCCATTTCCATTTGGATATGTACTTTTGTGACTTGGTTGTTGAATTCTTTAATCCAGCTTTAAATGGATTCTCATTTATTTTCTTATTTATTTGAGAATTTGTGATATATTCTAGATAAAATACATATTTTGAAATATTTTTCTCCTGCTTTGTGGGTTGCCTTTTTACTCTTGTAATGATACTATTTTGGTGGTCAGAATTTCTCCATTTTAAGTCTTTTTTTTTTTCCCCCTTTCAAGTTTTTATTTAAATTCCAGTTAGTTAACACATTGTGTAATATTAGTTTCAGGAGTAGAATTTATTGATTCATCACTTACATAGAACACCCATTGCTCATCACAAGTACTCTCCTTGATGCAATCACCCATTAAACCCATCCCTCCACCCACCTACCTTCTAGCAACCTTCAGTGTTCTATATAGTTAAGAGTCTGTTTTATGGTTTGCTTCTATCTTTTCCCCCTCCATGTTCATCTGTTTTCTTTCTTAAATTCCACATATGACTGAATACGGTATTTGTCTTTCTCTGGCTGACTTATTTTGCTTCACATAATGTACTCTAGCTCCATCTCTATTATTGCAAATGACAAGATTTCGTTCTTTTTTGTGGCTAATATTCCGTTGTGTATATGTACCACATCTTCTTTAACTATTCATCAGTCAATTGACTTTTGAGCTCTTTCCATAATTTGGCTATTTAGTCGAAAATGCTGCTATAGGGGCACCTGGGTGGCTCAGTGGGTTAAGCCTCTGCCTTTAGCTCAAGTCATGATCTCAGGGTCCTGGGATGAAGCCCCATGTTGGGCTCTCTGCTCAGTGGGGAGCCTGTTTTTTCCCTTCTCTCTCTGCCTGCTACTCTGCCTACTTCTGATCTCTCTTGGTCAAATAAATAAATAAAATGAAAAAAAAAAGAAAATACTGCTATAAACATTGAGGGGGACATGTATCTCTTCACATCCATATTTTTGTATCCTTTGGGTAAATACCTACTAGTGCAATTGCTAGATCATAGCTTTATTTTTAAGTTTTTGAGGAATCTCCATTCTGTTTTCCAGAGTGCCTACATCAGTTTGCTTTCCCACCAACAGTGTAATAAGGTTCTCCTTTCTCCACATCCTCACCAATATTTGTTGTTTGCTTTGTTAATTTTAGCCATTCTGACAGATGTGAGGTGATATCTCATTGTAGTTTTGATTTGTATTCCTCTGATGATGAGTGATGTTGAACATCTTTTCATGTCTGTTAGTTATCTGTATGTCTTCTTTGGAGAAATATCTATTCATGTCTTCTGCCCATTTCTTAATTGGATTGTTTTTTGGGGGTGTTGAGTTTGATAAATTCTGTATAGCTTTTGGATACCAGTCCTTTATCAGATATGTCATTTGCAAATATCTTCACCCATTCTGAAGGCTGCTTTTTAGTTTTGTCAATTGTTTCTTCATTGTGCAGAAGCTTTTTTATCTTGATGAAGTCCTAGTAGTTAATTTTGCTTTTGTTTCCCTTGCCTCTAGTAAGAAGTTGCTACGGCTGATGTCAAAGAGGTTGCTCCTGTGTTCTCCTCTAGGATTTTGATGGTTTCCTGTCTCACGTTTATGTCTTTCATCCATTTTGAATTTATTTTTGTGTGTGGTGTAAGAAAGTGGTCCAGTTTCATTCTTTTGCAAGTTGCTATCCAGTTTTCCCAACACAATTTGTTGAAGAGACAGTCTTTTTTCCATTGGATTCTTTCCTGCTTTGTCAAAGATTAGTTGGCCATATAGTTGTGGGTCCATTTCTGGGTTTTCTACTCTTTTCCACTGATCTATATGTCATTTTATATCAGTACCATACTGTTTTAGTCATTACAGCTTTGTAATATAACTTGAAGTCCAGAATTGTGATACCTCCAGCTTTGCTTTTATTTTTGAAGTTTGTTTTGGCTATTTGGGGTCTTTTGTGGTTCCATACAAATTTTAGGATTGTTTGTTCTAGCTCTGTAAAAAAAATGCTGGTGATATTTTGATAGGGATTGCATTAAATGTGAGATTACTTTGGGAAGTATAGACATTTTAAGAATATTTGTTCTTCCTATCCATGAGCATGGAATATTTTTCCATTTATTTGTGTCATCTTCAGTTTCTTTCAAAAGTGTTTTGTAGTTTTCAGAGCGTACCTCTTTCACTTCCTTGTTTAGGTTTATTCCTAGATAGCTTATGGTTTTTGGTGCAATTTAAATGGAATCAGGTCCTTGATTTCCCTTTCTGCTGCTTCATTATTGCAACTGATTTCTGTACATTGATTTTGTATCCTGTTACTTTACTGAATATATGTATTAGTTCTATCAATTTCTGGTGGAGTATTTCAGGTTTTCTACTTAGAGTATCATGTCATTTGAGAATTAAACCAAAAACTGTAACAAGAGATAAAAAAGGACAGTATATCATAATAAAGGGGTCTATCCAGAAAGAAGATCTAACAATTATAAGTACTTATGCTCTCAACTCAGGAGTACCCAAATATATAAAACAACTGATAACAAATTAAAGGAGATCATTGATAATAATACAATAACAGGAGGGGACTTTAACACCCCACTTATACCAATGACAGATCATCTAAACAGAAAATCAACAAAGAAACAATGGCTTTGAATGACACACTGGATTAGATGGACTTAACAGATATATTCAGAACATTTCATCCTAAAGTAGTAGAATACACATTCTTTTTGGGTGTATATGGGACATTTTCCAGAACAGATCACATACCAGGTCACAAATCAAGCCTCAATAAGTATAGAAAGATTGAGATCATACCATGCATATTTTCTGATCACAATGCTATGAAACTTAAAGTCAACCATAAGAAAAATTTGAAAAGACCACAAATACATAGAGGTTAAAGAATATCCTACTAAAGAATAAATTATCAGTCTTTTCCTATATTGTTAGTCCTTTGAGTGTTCCAATTAAGAAATCCTTGCCTATCCTAAGGTCATAAAGAGATTCCTCTAATTTTTCATTTAAAAGCTTTATTGTTAACTATTTCCATTAATGAAATGTAATCTACTTTGGAATTGATTTCTGTAGGTGCTGTAATCAAGACTCATTTTTTTCTCATATGGATATTCAGTTAACTAAATACCACTTATTGGAAAGACCTTCCCTTTGCCCCATTGCAAATGAGTATCAAATTTAACTAAACCAGATACTATCTTCTTGGTCTGTTTCTTGATTCTCTATTCTGTTCTATTTTGTCTGTTTTTCCACCAGTAATACTGCATGATCTTAATTTCAATAGCTTACCCCAATGTGTTTCCCTTCTTTCTGGGATCTTGGCCTCTCAATTTCTAATTGCCTGCCTGCCCCATTCCTCCACTTTTTATCCATTGTTCTTAGCCAGATGTGTTCTAAATCAAGCTACTCTATTAAAGCTAAAAGTGGGATTCTAGAACAATCATTTTAGAAACATCAGGTCATGTTACTCCTCCATTTAAAATACTGCCACAAGTGCCATTGCCCAGAGTAAAACCCAAACTTCATACAAATCTAACTACAACAACAAAAAAGACCTGTGCCTTCCTCTCGTCTTGTATTTCTCTTATGTTGCTAATTATGATATAGTCAGCTGGTGTTTACCTCTGTCTAGGACACTTTCCTCAAAAACTTCTTGTTATTCATATCTCAGTTCAAATGTCACTTCACAAATGCTTTCTCTGACATTAGGGTATAGTTCGTTCTTTCCACTCTGTTTCACATTACCTTGTTTTATTTTCCTTATAGTGCTTTTCACCAGTGGAAATGATTGTATTTATTAGCTTACTTATTTACTGTATTTCTCTCCCCATTAGAATGCAAATTTTATGAGGGCAGGAGCCTTATTAACTTTTTTTATGGTAGACTTTCCAAATGACAAGAACAGTGCCTGGGACATAAAGCAGAGTTGAATGAATACAGATGGACATTTAGTATTATAGCGTATGGTCAAGATTAAGTCAGGCTTTTAATTCTTGATCCAATAAGATAAAGATGGAACAGTAGTTTATGACATTAAAAACATTGTTAAAAATTTTATTTTGACTTTGCCATTCATGAAAATTATCGACACTGCTGTAGTTGCTAGGAGCATTACATAAAATCTTACAGTTATGCTTTTGTTCTTTCTTAGGACTCCGCTGATGGATAACTGGTATTCTTTATCATATCTATACTTCAGCACTTTGGGAACTTTGGTAACGGTATTCATGGGAATGCTAATCAGTTTACCAACAGGTAGATATCTAAACATTAGTATTGCTGTATTTACCTAGATATCAGTTTTTACTATATCTCTTTTATAGCTATTTATGTTATTTTTCTATAGTCCTGTTAACAACTAGGTTAATTACTTGTTCCATTTTCCTCATGGGAAATTTGAATGCCTGTACTTGAAAGCAGAAGACCCTATTAGAACCTTTGTTCTGCCACTGACTAGCTGCATAAACTTAGGGAAGTCCGTATAGCTACTCTGAGGCTTAGCTATCTTATGTGTAAATGAGGATAATGGCAATTGACTTGCCTTTCTCACTGGTTGCTGTAAGAAAAAATAAAATGCTTGACAAAATTGTATGTAGCTACTGCAATGCTAGGATTCTACATGTATTATTACAACACTCCTGTGTCATAATATTTTCATTGTCCTATGCTGGCTTTTTGTAAACTGTAAAGAAGTATACAATAGGAATGATCATTGCAATCTTTACATCTGAACATAGTGTGAGGCTTTTTTCACATGTCCATAAATTTTAAAATGTTGTTTAAAAAAACATATTGATAATACACATCTTATACACTGCTCTCTGGGATTGCTATAGAGCTGTTACCCTGGGACTTCATTTTGTCCTCATTTTGTGAATTCCCTTGGTCTCCCTGCTGTGTTGGATTCCCTATTGCCAGTATTCCATTATTTATAATTCTTGTTTATCCCCTTAATTGAAGAGAGCACATCCTTTAGCATGTTCTTGAGAAAGGGTAGACAAGAGATTTAGAGGTGTGGTGTCTTTTGAAAAAATGTCTTTAATTCTCCCTTATACTTGATTGATTGTTTGAGTAGAGAATCCTAAAAAAAATAGCTTTCTTATTTCTGAAAGGATATCTTAATTTCTCCTAGATGATTATGTTTTTACTGAGAATGCCAGTGCCATGCTACCTGTTGGCACTTTGCATGTCACTCATTTCACAATGATTGCTTTTCCCTAAGCCCTTGTTATGGCGTTTTCAATCTGGAGACCTATGTCCTTCAGTTTGTGGACATTTTCCTATATTATTATTTTTGTAATTTCCTGTGATTTTCTGTTTTCACTTTCTGGAAACTCTTGTTAGTCAAATGTTTTAGTCTCAGACAGTTATTCTAATTTTCTTCTCTTTTCTCTTGTATTTTCCATCACTGTGTCTTTTAGGTCTACTACATGGGATACTTTTCCAATTACTTTTCCAATAATTCTCAAAGGAGCACTCTGATCCAGTTTTGAGAATAGTCTATAAGGGAAGGAGGGCAGGTAGGAGGCTATTGCAGTAATCCAGGTGAGCGACTGTGGTAGCTCAAAGCCAGGTAGCCGTATAGAGCTAGTGAGAAGTGCCAGACTTCCTGATTTCCTGCATTCCCTCACCCATGCACATCCGTAGTAACCAGAGGAGGGGAAGGCAGCCCCACTGCCCTCTTCATCAAAGGTGCAGTCACTAGTCAAAAATCCTATACTTTGTCCTAGTATGTCTGATGTCTTTGTTTGCTTTATGCTAAGTGGCACTGTGCCACTTGAAGGAATTCTGTCAGTCATTGTTTTGTGGCTCCTGAATAGCACTGCCTTTCACAATTCTGTGATACTTGTATTTACAATTAACAAATTATATTAATAATTAGTAGTGATATTAATATGACATCAATTATATAAATTATAATTATTATATATTCAATGCATAATTACACATTTATAATAAAGTTTGTAGTTATTTATTACCTCTTAAACACGTTTTAAACTATTCTCTTTCGTTTCAAAAATGACTGTGCCTTTCTTCATAAATAAAATTACCAACACAGTAGATTTATTCTTCTGTCTGTTTTGATATATTTTAAGATGGATTTTAAAGTTTCTTACCAGTAACCCAATTATTCAGGTCAGGAATACACCTAAACAGTCTCCTTGTACTATTTGACCTCAGATCCTTATTCAACACATTCCTTTTTCTTTAAGAAAATGGAGTATCGGAGCATTCCCTTTGAGAACTCCCCTTTTTTTCCCTTAAAATTTTTATTCTGATAACCATATGTGCCTGCTTCTTTTGTTTTATAAAGTCATGCTTTACCTAGGTGAGCAGGCATCCAGTGATAAAAAAAACAATTCAACTTCATTAATTTCATAAATGACTTATTTCCACTTCACAGCAGCAATGAGCATCTCGAGAAAATAATCTAGAAACATGAAATCCTAACACTATTTGAGAAATAAATAGGAAGATTCAGTAAGAATTCCGGCCATACAGACTGGGTTGGCATTTCAGTTTCACCCTACCATGTACTGTGTACTGTGAGTGAGTCTGTCTCGTCATCAGTAAAATGGGGTAAAGAAGGCCCTAAATAAACCATAAGCTATGAGTACAGTAATTGTTTTACTCATGTCTGTCTCTCCAGCACCTAGTAGAATCTCTAGCAGATGGTAGGCACTCAACAATGTCGAATGAATTAATTTTAAATTGATTTCATCTCCAGAAGAGCAGAGGCTCCCATAATTAAAAGCCTAATATTTGTACTGAAGTAGTGGTTCCCAAATATTAGAGAGCATGAAGATCACTTTGGAAATTTAGTTAAAATCAGGGTTCAGTGGCCCCGCTCCAGAGTTTCGAACTGGGTTGGTCCAGGTTGAAGTCTAGGAATCTGCATTTGATGTATGTCTGCTAGATGATTTGTATAAAAGTAGTTTGAGAACCACACAATTTTAAAAAGCTTTGTCTTTGATCTACAAATAAAATACCAAAACAAAGAATAATTTTTTATGAAACAGAATGTTAGGGAAGAAGAGTTGAATCAAATACCAATCATTATATTGATTTTAACTTAACTAATGTATTCAGCATTTCATAATTTCCTGCATTTCCTCATGCACCTCTACATTCATAGCCATTAAACTGGGGAAAGGCAACTCCTCTGTCTGCAGCAGAGGCAGATGGCTTGATATTTTATTGGTAGATCACAGAGGTTGCTTTTATTTCCTTATGAGTCTTGGGCTCTTAGGTTAAGTACCATACGAGGTAGGTGGCTTGCATTTAAGAACCATCTCATTCATCTTCAAACACTAGACTCATTTGTCACAGTTAGAGGCTTGCAGAATCTAAGACCAAGAGAAGGGAAATGGTGAGCCAAGTCTTCAGCACTATGTAAAAGATTCTCTTTCTCTGCGTGTTTTATGAGTGTGTAGAGTTGAATGTGCACAAGGTAAATGCTTGTATGATGGGCCGTCACTGGGTAGTTACAGATACCTTTTAACATTGTAAATGATGTAAATGTTTTTCAGGAGGAAGGAAACAAAACTTAGACCGCAGATTCCTATTAACCAAAGAGGACTTTTTATCCAATTTTGACATTTTTAAGAAAGTAAGTTGCTTTCTTTCTCCTTACATTAATAAGACCGTGCTTTTATTACCAGGATAGCATACTAGATAGTCCTTGGACTCTCTTTTGAACTCTGATGGGCAAGGAAAATATTTGCCCTATTCTTTGATTTCTATTGTATATCTTGTCTTCAGTAGATGGCAAAGCTGATGTAGAGGGAAAAAAGCAGTAACAATTATTTAGAATTGAATAGTTCCTTTTTTTGCTAATCACTGTTAACATTTTCTTTTAGAAGGAGCATATTTTAAGCTATAAATCTCACCCGGTAGAAGATGGTGGAACTGATAATCCTGCCTTCAACCATATTGAATTGAACTTCCCAGATCAAAGTGGCAAGATGAGTGGGACTTATTTGTGAAGCATCTGTGATACTAGATGATCTTAAACAGTGACTCAGTTACATATGTTTCCTAAGATAATTGGACCAGATTTGGATTTCTTTTTGGGGGCAGGGTTCGATAATGAGTGAAGTTTTGGGGGAGCCTTTTGGGGGTAAAATTTTATTGAAACAAAGTGCTGACTCTTCACTTACTATATTCATTAACTGATGCTACTCTGGAGTTAAGAATTTCAGCATCAGCATTTTCCTTTATTTCTCTTTTATTTTCATGAAGATATCATTGTGAAAGTTATGACCACATATTGCTAAAGGATTAATATACACATATACACACCTACTTGATGGTCAAAAAAGAGTATTTTAAATTTGGGCATTATTAAAAATATTTTCCATGCATTTGTTGCTAGCATATAAGTTTTGGGGTTTCCCAAAATCAGATATAATACTGAAAAGACCTTTTGTCTTTCTACAACATATTGTATTTTTAGGAAACAGTGAGGTGACAAATCCATGTTGTCTAGATCTTTGCTTCTCACTGATCCATATCAGTCCTATCAGGGAGCTTATTAACTCTGGAACCAATTCTGGCTCAGGAAGGTGGTAATCAAGAAGCATCCTGTTTGGGAGAGAACATGGGCCCAGTGATCAAGGTCTTTTTGGTTCTACTTATCTATTCTTGTGCCTTTTTGCTAATTATCTACAACTCCTGGCCATTGGCTGTTTATATTGCCTTACACCCCAGTTCTTATATGCAATCTCAATTTCTGACCCATTAGCTCAGATTTTGTTGTACACTTTACTGTTCTTGTCTTCCTAGTTTTCTATTTACTATGTTACCTTGGACTTGTATATGTCTCGAAATACCCAGTGTGAATCATGCTACCCCTGATCCTGGTTTACGAAGTCACGGACTATAAATTAGAAATCCTATGAGCCTGATACTGACTGAAGTATTTACAACATAAGTACTTACGGATTTGGTCACCCAAGAACATTTACATGATTAAAATGGTTAAGTTCCATGGAATTGCATGATTATGTTGAATGATACTAATTTGAATGTCAACTAATTTGCAGTCAGTTGAATTTAAGGGTACATACATATGCTTAGAAGTCTTGAATTCTAGTGTATTCACCCATTTAAAGACCTACATTACATAGGTAAACACACTACTTTTTTTTTAATGTTCTGAATTACCAACTATCTGCTTTGTTTCATGCTTTAAAATTTCAAGTAGAAATCTCAAAGTTTATTTTGTTTATCTTGCTACATTTCCAGCTAAGGGTTTGGTCACAGACTTTTATCAATAACATTTTTTTTCTACAGTTCTTGCATTAGATACTGTTTAGAAATGTGTTTCTTTGTTTGTTTGCCTTACAATATTTTAAAATAATATGAGGAACATTTAGGTACATTAAATAGGTTTTAGAATTAAATACTTTTTTGCTTATTTTCTGATATTTAGGTAAGTATGCTCTGTACTTTTAATGGTTGCCAACTGAAAACATGAAGCAATAAAAAAAAATAGGAAGTAGCATTTATCTAAAGAAAGATTTATGTAACATTTAAATTAATGATGTGTTAATATATTTCATATGTGTATAGATGTTATTTTTTAATCAATATGTTTGTAAGCATATATCAAACTTTGTAAATCTTTCTACAATTTTTAATAAGTAGGGAGATATCACTTATTTGTTTAATGCAAGTGTGATTTGAACTATTGTTATTTATTTAGTAAGTGTAAATGCACATGTGTGTAGAATGCTTCAGTTTTGGAAATCAAAGTCCAGTTATACAAATTTTTCCTTATCTACAAAGATTATGCCACATGTTCTTAATGATATGATACTTCTATTCTTGTGCACTTTATTTAACCAAATACATCTTTGTGACTTTGGGAACTGTTTGGTATTTTACCTTTATGAACACATAAGAGTGCCAGACCACATTCTTAAGAAATCAAATTACTGTTATTAATTATGAAAAAATCATTTATCTTATCTGAATCTTTGGATAAAACCACAAAGAAGTAAAACATTAATATATCATAGTGTGAATGAAATAATCTAATGTTCTTAATTACTTCTGAATCACAACAGTCCCAACAGGAGGGAAAAGCCACATAAGTAGTCTATTTTCATTTTGTCATTGACAGATTATATGACCTTGAATTTATCCTTAATCTCCTCTAATGATGGAACTCTAAACACTTAACTACCTCACAGAAATAATGTGAGTATAAAAGATTAGATAGCACTTTATTAGCTCAAATAGTATTACTTAAAATTTTAATATGCTTGGAAATAAAAATTTGAGACAAAGGTTACTTGTTTAAAAAAAAAGACAAATTGTTAAGAATTTGCAATGTAATGATGTGGATATAGTTCCATCTCTAAAAAATATGTGCTGTAGAAAAACTGAACTATATTTAGGAATCAGCAGGATTATTCAGAGAGAATGGAAACTTTACTTTAAAAAAAAGCAACCAATATATTCACTCCATAGAGAAATGGCCAATCATATTCACTCCATAGAGAAATGAAACTTTTATATGTAGGATATAAATGGTATAAATGTATATTCATCTATTTGATTGCTTATGTATTAATTTTTTCTCTAGACCAGTGGTTCTAATGGGGCAGTTTTACACCTGCATTTGGACATTTGGAAATATCTGGACATTTTTGGTGGTCACAGTGGTGATGAGGTGCTACTGGCATCTAGTGGATAGAATTTAGAGTTACTACTAAATATCCTGTGATACATAGGACAACCCCTCTTCACAACAAAAAATGATCCTACCCCAAGTATCAATAGTGTTGAGTTTAAGAAATCCTGCCCTAGAGGTTAGGGTTGCAATCTTGATTTTCCTGAAGTCACACATGCTGGTTTTATTCCTTTAGAGAAATTGCCTTGACTCTTCTATCTGATCATTCTCATCTACAGGGGAGGATTAAAGTGTCACTGGAATACACAATGTTAGGATACAGGATAATAACCATATATTTTCTTAGTATTTTGAAAATATTAAGGAATATAAAATGTGAATAATTATGAAAACAACTTTTATGAAGGTTTCATTTTGCAACATGATTTCCAACATTAACATATATTAGGATGAAGGAAATATTAAATACATGAATATGAAGATTTCATAATTTTGCTTTACCTATGAATATCCCAGAAAGTAGTTTATTTGTTAACAACCTATCCATGATATACACACAAGGGACAGGGATAGGGTTAAGATCAGGAGAATGACTCACTGTGTCAATTCTTATAGGAAATTCTTAGTTTTTCCCAATAATAGTTGTTGATACAGAGTCAACTGAGTGCATGCAGTTACTGAAAATTCACCACATAATTTAGTTACTGTAAAATTTACTTTTATATTTAAGTTATGTGCCCATTGTGAAAAATCTTGAGGGAATTGAACATTATAATGTAAAACAAGTTTGCATTTCTGATTTTTCAGCTTGCTGATTAAACTCTCCACAAGTGTCTTTGCAGTTGTCTGTTCTTGGAGAAGAAAATGTCAAAATGAATATAATTAAGTTCATCAGCTTTTACAGAGAATTATTTCCACTCTACCACAAAAGGACTCTTTCTGTATACTACATTCAGATTATAAAAGAATAAGCAAATAAACATGCAGAACTTTTGTTGAAGAATATTTTATGCGTTGAGTGATTAACATTGTATTTGAAAATAATAAATCACATCTTCAGTCGTGAAAATTTCTTAGCCATTATTTCTTTGAATATTCTCCCCCTCCCATTTTCTCTGTCCTGTAACTCTTTAACTCCTATTAGAGGAACAGCATACCTCTTTATCCTATCCTCCATGTCTCCTAATCTGGTTCATATTTTCTATATAAAATTTAAAAATTTCAGGATACATCACATACATATATATGAAAGGTCACTTTCTTTCTGGCTTTCCCTACTCTGCTACTTAATTTGTCCATTGAATTTTCCATTTCAATGACTTTATTTTCTTCATTTTCAAAGTTGGATGTGCTTTTTCAAAATTTTCAGTTTCCTATTCTTTCCTAACTGGATTCTTTCATTGTGATTCCAAACTATTCTTTTTTTTTTTTTTTAAAGATTTTATTTATTTATTTGACAGAGAGAGAGGGAGATCACAAGAAGGTGGGGGTGGGTGGGGGGGATGGGAAGCAGGCTCCCTGCTGAGCAGAGAGCCCAATGTAGGGCTCCATTCCAGGACCCTGAGATCATGACCTGAGCTGAAGGCAGAGGCTTAACCCACTGAGCCACTCAGGTGCCCCCCAAACTATTCTTTTATCGCTAATAATTTTAACCATATTTATTTCTCTTATGCTATTTGAAATTCTTGATGTGCTAATTCTTCTACTTGTTCCTTTGCTTACTTTTCACCATGGTGGTTTCTTTCCTTATATAGTTGAACATTTAACTGAAAGTTTATCTTCAGTAGGGGTTGTACTTTTTCTAGTGAGCGTTCCTTGGGCTCCAGTTAGTGAAAGTCTTTACAGAGAAGTTTTAGATCAGCTTTGGCTGTGCCCATGTTTTAATTGCCTTCTACCAATCTTACTTCATTATCTCAGGTTAGGACTTCTGTCTTAGGTTCACAGTATCAGTTTTCATCCTCTATCCATAGATGGCACAGGGTTTAGGGTTGGAGCCTCAAGTAATTTGTTCTCCATCAAAGACTTGGAGAGAGGCAAACTTTCTTTAAAATTCCCTTTTAAATAATGGGGCAGTTCTTCAAGGCTTCAGGCTTTTGGTGATATTTGCAATAGAGTTCTCACTCTCACATTCTGGAAGCAGAAACCTCATCTTAGTCCACACGAGGGCCCATAAACTCATTAGGAACTATACCTTCATAGGTTATTCAACACCTGTTTGACTTTTTTTTTAATTGAGGTAAAACTGATTTATAATTAGTTTTAGGTGTACCACATAATTTGGCATTTGCCTATACTGCAAAGCGATCACCAGAATTACTCTCCGTCACCATACAGTTGCCCCGACAC